GACAAAAAAAAAACATTTATTTTCAAATTCATAATTGGTTAGAAAAGTATGACTTTTTTTTACCCGAAAATCTCCAAAATGCGTCTCCCTAAATATCTCGCGAAAGAAACAACTTTTCGGAAATATTTTCTTGGAATTAGAAAGATTAACTTTCACGTCAAGCAATCTGTTAATAAAAAAAATTCGTGTAAATTATCGCCGCAAAGGATTATAGTGACCTTAAGCAGTCTGTTGCTATGAAATATCAAAATTATTTGTCAAGACGAACATATAAGCTTGTGTGCAAAATCCAGACACCCTATTTTAGTAATGAGAAGGAGACATAGTTACCACGTAATATAAAATGTTTAGGTATTGATTTAAGACTACCAAAGTTTGTCAGATGCTAAGTTTGTTAAGGGTTGAGATATTGGGCATGTTATATCGAGCACGAAAAATACATATTTAAAAAAAGATGTAATTGGTTTCACCTGATGAGTGTGGTCCTCTGGACCATACGAAACAATATTGTAGTGAAAATTRCATCATGGAAATRCAGTAGTTTGTTCTGTAATTTTCTATTTTATTTAATACAGCTCCGACTTTTATATTGTTGTTGAGCACTTTTTTAGTTTTTTGATGAAATTTTTCATATATATATTTAAAAAAAGAGATGTACAAATGCTTCGAACAGAAGTGCCCCAATATCAAGATGAGTCAACGGTAAGTAATTAGATATGACTGAATCCATGACAACAGATGGATGAATTTTTTTACATTGTTTTTACAATTTTCCTTGCGTGAAAGCTCCGACTCATGTTTACTGCAAGCCATAAAAGTCTAATTGCTTTGAAAACTTTATTTTTGAATCGTCAAATGCATATGACAAATAGCTGTGTCATACGCCTTTTGTGAAATACCACATATTGTGCCGTTTGCACTGAAACTATACTATGTAATGCAACCCCATTATGTAATCCATAAAATTTCTAGATCTGACGATTCATACGATCTTATTTATTACACAAATATTACATCTCCCTCCATCTCTCCTCCCAACAATGTCACATAAAACAAATACRCATAAAACTAGACGGATCGTCTTTTTAAAGTCAATCTTTCAACCAGATGTCATTAAAGTTATTAAAGGTATCGTAATTATAACTTGGGATTCCTGTTGACCGGAAGTAGACCATGGACTTGTTATCTCGTCCTCTCACAAAATTCCCGGGGGAAGACTCCCTAATATCAAAGGGCGGTGGTCCTCGGCGTCCCTTTTAGGGTTTGAAATYAGTATTTTGGTCCCGCTTAGGGTGATCATGAMAAGAATTCCTACCAACTGTGTTTTGTGGTCCCTTTTAGGGTATACGGCGACCCTAAGCAGTCATAAAATGGCAACGTCGCCATAAACTCAATACGAGCCGACGGTGTTCGATGATTGTGTAAAAACACAAATAAAATCGGTAAACCAAAACAAAATGACCTGTTATTGATTGGTCCCTTTTAGGGTTGAAATTTCAGCACTGMCACGCCCATCATCTCACAATAGAGGTCCCTTTTAGGGGTCATTTTCACAATCTCCGCCGAGGACCCCCGCCTATTGATATTATGGAGTCCCCCCCCGGGACAAAATTATGGCGGATCGTCTCTTTTCATGTTACTTCATCACTTCGTAGGACTTCACACGTATCCCAATATCACTGGATGTARCTTGGGGCTCCTGTGGTAACGTTCGACGTCACTTCTCAATTTGAGTGTGAAATCAATTAACTATGATGAACTTGGAAGTCAAGAAGGGCCATCAGCATAGTTAACCWTATCTCATAGCGGCAAACKTTATTTTTTAGCGTCAAACTATGTTTCAGTAGCGTCAAACTTTATTTTATAGCAGCAAACTTTATTCTGAAGATTTTTGTATTTTATTCCTGAGCTTTTTGTATCGGGAGAGTCCTAGAGAGACTGGAGATAATAAACGTGTGACGTTGCTTCAGTCAGATCGAAACTTGCAGATAAATGCTAGCGAAATTCCGTCATTCAGATTTTAATCTGACATTAAAAAATACGAAATTCGGGGATTGATATTCGAATGAAATATGTCACCAAGTTCTCATTAGCAACAGTTATGTAAAAAGATAAATTTAACACCGTAAAAAAGTATGTGGAAAAACTTACTGACGTTTCGGATGTTAATCCTTCGTCGGAGTAAAGAGRGAGAACTAGGTATAGTGTGAGTTTATATAGTAAGAGTAACAAAGAGAATAGACCAATAGGAGCAAGGTAGGCATGGTGACGAGAAATAAACAAAAACGCAAAGTAAGTGTTAGACAAAAGAACAATAAAGGTGCTAAAAAGGAAACAAAAGAATTAAAACTTATCTGAAAACAAAGCGTTCATTCAACCCATGGGGATTATAAGTGCCCAATGGGTTGAATGGGGATTATAAGTGCCCAATGGGTTGAATGAACGCTTTGTTTTCAGATAAGTTTTAATTCTTTTGTTTTCTTTTTTAGCACCTTTATTGTTCTTTTGTCTAACACTTCCTTTGCTTTTTTGTTTATTTCTCGTCACCATGCCTACCTTGCTCCTATTAGTCTATTCTCTTTGTTACTCTTACTATATAAACTCACACTATACCTAGTTCTCTCTCTTTACTCCGACGAAGGATTAACATCCGAAACGTCAGTAAGTTTTTCCACATACTTTTTTACGGTGTTAAATTTATCTTTTCACATAACTGTTTCTTTAGAAACACCGACGCAGCTCACACTAGTTTACCGCTAGTTCCCACCATTTTACTATTGTATACTGCGATCCTTTTTATTGTATTTCAGATGCCGAAACTTCACAAGGAACTCCGCAAGGAAATGGTAAGTTTTTTGATTCCTTTCCCTACTAATACATCTCATCTTTCTTTCAAACTTTTTAACCTT